TAGTAGTAATGGCCTCCAACCTCGTTGACTTTGGGCCTTGATGCTCTGAGGCAAGACCAAGCTTCCAAACAACTTCTTCTCCCGGAGGGTGCCTTTGGTGGCATTGGAGCCTGCGCAACAACTCCGTGACGCCCCAATAGCTCCCGATAGCTCCGTAATGAAATAAGGAATATCGACTGGAACCCATGCTTACTATATAGTAGCTTCTTGTTACTAGTAGCGATCAAAGACCTCCTACAGGTGAGACAATTCCCAGTGAAACGATTCCCGAGGAAGCTTCTAGCTACTTGTAGCTTCTTGTGCCTGGGCCCCTGTAAGGTCATAGCGAGGTTGTTCATTTAGGGCAGCTGGGGTGTAAGTGTATGTCCTCATGATTGATGGCGCCGGCGCTAGCAGGTACTGCAAGCGTGGCTTTCTCAGGGTATGCATCTCTCCTCTGAAGAATCCTACGTGATCAAGTCTGGTATTAATTGGGGGATGGTGTCTATAGACCAGTAAACTGCCACGAATGTTTAGTGTGGTGCAAAGATAGTTTTTACGGCCGGGCCCCAAGCAAGCACCTTCCTTGTTTAGTGTTCCTTTCTTCATAGCAATGGTAACTATATAGTGACTATATTTTATAGTTATAGTCGTTATAGTTATAGTAACTAGCTACTAGTAGCTTCTTGTTCCTAGTAGAAATGCCAGGAGCCCCTAGTAGCTTCTTGTTCCTAGTAGCGATGCCAGGAGCGCCCCTAGTAGCGTCCGATCGCTCCTAGTTATAGTAAACAGCCATTGCCTGCCTCGCCGTGGCATAGCGGCAACACACGAGCACCTGGCGGAGGCCGATGGCATTCATCCTCAGATGAGCGCCTGGGTGCGCGGGCGATCCTTGAGAGTGCTCTCTGGAGGCCGAATTCTTGAGAGAACTTTTATTGTAATAGCGATGACCCCAACCTGCTAGCAACTTTAATGTATATAGACAGATCTTTTCATGTTGAATTCCTTTCTATGTATTTTAGTATTTGTTTTGCGTGTTTTGTTCCTGCAGACGTTTCTTTCTTTCTTTCTTTCTTTGACTGCTTGTTCGGAGGGCAAGATAGCATTCGAACAAGAGCGCTGCTGTACCGTATCACAATCCAATTAAATGCTTGGCCAGTTGAGGTGGTGCTTTCCTCATCCCCCTCTCGCCCACAGAGTTTTGCAAAAGCCGTCTCAGCTTGCAGGTGGCATTTGTGGTTCCTTTGCAGGCCACGCTGTTGCACAAGTCTATGCAAGTCAGATGAAGGATTTTGGCAGCTGGTTTCCACATAGTAGGTTTGTGCTTGGAACAATCACGAGGAGGTTTCCCATTCCCTTGAGGAAGAGATGTCAACCACCTGCCTGCACAGTGATTCATGCTTGTCACAGACTATGTTGATTTGGCAAGGGGTTTAGGGTTGGAGGCCATCGCTACTAGGTGGAGGCCTCCGCTAATAGACACAAAGACAAAGGACAAGCAGATTTGTCACAGACACGTAGGGCACGGTGGCTCTGATTGTTGAAGGATTCCAGCTTCCCGAAAGCTCACGTGTTGGTGGAAATGCCTTTGCGTTGCAGGTGGCTTGTTGTCATCGTTGCGCGACCAAACAATTTTTTGCGATGTGCTGCTCAACGGAGGCGCCTGAATTCAGCTGCCATGCAGTCACTACATGTCACTACATGTCACTACCATTATCATTCTGGAATCCTAACACGGCAAACTTGGATTAGTGTGCCTTTGCTGGACAACTTGCATTGGAAACAGATCATCGATGACGACAGTTCGGAGAGGCTTAAGTTGCGAAAGTCACCCGTCAAGTCTTCAAAACAAGCATTTCGTATGTCACTTGTCGTACGAGACTTCCACCCAAAATTCAAACTGAAAACTCTCCAAAGTGAGGGTTCCAGAGGATTCTTCCTTCAAAAGTGAAGACTGCACACATCACAGACCTGCCAAGCAGTTCCGCAATCCTAGCGGTCCTAGCCCACAGCGACAATCACTTAACGTCGCAACCTCGCAGATAATTGAGCCTGCCACGCAAATTTACCGCCAACACATCCAATACGCACAGAGCACCGTGCCTGCCACGCAAAGTGATTATGCCACATTTGCACGCCTCTAGCACAAGCTTTCACCATGCCACACGTTTGGAATGATTTCAGCACTTGGCCGCTTCAACCACATCGCTCCAATTTGCAAGTTTGGGAAATCGCAATTGCCTGGCAACATGCAACACTTGCCGCAGACCACCCTGGAAATGCCAATCCCACTGTCAGGGCGATGCGAACTGTTCACCTCCTCCAAACACTTCGGTGGAGCAACGTCGCACAGACATAGCTCCACGCCCAGACCCGAGTTCAACGGAAACCCAACGGGAACCCTAGCTTTTTCTTATTTCTTCGGGAAAAGCATGACGTGCGATAGGCCCACCTTACTGAATGGAAGGTGCCGTAGGGCTGGTGAGATCGGGAAGTGTCGCCTACTTGCTCCTAGTAGCGATGCCCTTTGTTACTAGTAATTGTCGCATATGGTGAGTCGTCCCGCATTTTTTTAATTTTTTTACATTATATGCATATATAACTTACCTTGAGTCCGCAGCGAGGGAGATGCGGCTGTGCAAACAAATCCTTCTCAAAAACATCAATCAACACACCCCCTTACAAGGCATTCCGTGTGTTTTAGAGAACTCACACGTGTAGGATGTTTCGCGCAGTGGCGTGTGGGGTTCCTACTCTGCATCCCGTCCGCCTCCGCCTCATCCCTTTGCTTGGTCCTCACACCAACTCAACTCACAACTACTCACAACTTGCATTCACTTTCACCTGGTAATACCCTTGTTACTAGTAGCGATGCCCTTACTACTAGTAGCTTCTTGCTACTAGTGGCAATGCCCTTGTTACTACAAGCTTTTGCGTTTCTCTGCAGTTTGCTCACTACTCAACTTACACCAACCCGATTCACCACAATGCGCTCTCTCCCTCACTCACTCCCTCACTCACTCACATCCACTATCATTCCACCAGCTTTTTGCCTCCTCTTCTAGCTTTCAGCAACCTTTTCCACGTCATTGCTCGGCTCGTGGCAGGTTATGCTCGCACAACGGGCTGCCAAGTGTTGAAGCCCGCAACCGTGCGGTTGCTTTGTAGAGAACCTGGCCGGAGAGAGGGGAAGGTGCAAAACAGTGACGCCAGTGTTCCTGTCAGAAAGTTCAGAGCCTTGACAGGGGGAAGCCTTGTGGTGAGAGGAGACGTAGAGACAGTAGCAGCACCAGTAGGAGTAGTCATGTAGTTGGCAGTGGTCGGGGTCGTGGTTGCCGTCGCTGTCATAATGTCGTAGGGCAAAAGTTGGTGAATAGGAGCAGGAGGATTAGCAACAGTGGCGTATGAAACATGTATCGTCCAAGGCCGTTATGCCTTTAGCCGCGGGCCGGGGTGGCTAGGTCCAATCCGAGCAGTGCCAAACCCACTTGTTCAGATGTTGTTGCAAGGATTGGCTTCGCATGAAGGCAGTGTCCAACAAGCAGCATTTGCGCGGCTGGGGCATGTGTCTTTGCTGACAGTAGGTTGTCTGAAACGGGCAACGGTCAGAGGATGTATAGGCAGGTGGGCAGGTCAAAGACACAGTCCTATGGCATCTAAACTGGCCACATGATGGTGCCACGTTGACAAGCCACCACACTCGACTTTTCTGGCCCAGGCCACACTTGATCCCTTGCTGTATTTGATCCCTCATCTAGAGATGGGGTTGGTTGCAAAGTGAGGTCGAGGTTAGGTGGAGGCCATCGCTAGTAACTAGTAGTAGGGTATTTGGAACAAGGAGTTCCACACTATTGTGTTGGCGTCCCGTAGCTTGTCATTGGTGCCAGCAGCTGCTTGCGTGCTCAGGGGGCGTGATGTGGGTTGGTGCCCAGTGGGGCATTGGATGCCGAAAGCTCGACTGCTCCTTGGAAGTGGCATTTGATCAGCAAGACGGGACGGGCCATTCTCAAAAAAAACCAAAGAGATGGGACCTTTACCTTTCTTCTTTGCGACGTGGGGTAAACTTAAGTCCAAAGTTAGACTTGCAAGAGGTTCAGTTTTTGTTTGCTCAGGTTTATTGGCTAGTTTGGTGCAAAGGGCTGAACTGTTGAACCATATGGTTCAGAATGATTTCAGGTAAAGGAGCTCGGGCAGCAAGGTCAACCTACTAGGCTGTGAATCAAGAGGATGAAGCTAAGTTGCCGTGTACCCGAGGATGTTTATGGGTGGCATCACCACCAGCTGGAGCATTAGCTTTGCCACAAAACAGTTCCAGGCCTTCTCTCCTTTTCTCAACGGAACAGAGCAAAATTACCTGGCCAAGCCTGTGCTGGGTAGAACGCACAAGTTATGGACATTTTTCATAATTTTTCATATTTTCCAGTTTTACTGTTGGTTGGGGGGCTCTCTCTTGGACAAGGACTGGCCACGATACCTGTACATCCGACCCTGCAGCAGCTTCTTGTAGCGGTTTCAATCTTGTCGACACAAATGGTCAGTTTCTCGTTGATGCTCAACCATTGCACGTTTTTCTTTTCAGGTGGGAAGCTTTCAACTTTTCGGCGTACTAGCATGTTGTCGCTTGCTGTGCTCGCAGATCTTAGCTACTAGTATTACTCCCTCTCGTTCGGATACCGGCCACGGGTCATGTTCAATTGTCGCGAAAGTCAAGTCTCTCACAAAAACAATACGTTGTTAATCGTTTTTGCAATTCCTCATGTGAATCTTGAATATTTATCGTTTCTCCATGATCAACAGTATGTAGATCCAGCGCCCAAGAAGCATGATTTGTATTGCAACATATTGCAACCAACCGTTTGTGTTTGCAAGTGTGCACTCGTATTTGCTGGAAGCCGATTGCAGGTCTCTATGACTAGCAGCTCGTGTGATGCAGATGTGCACAACTGGGATGATCGGAAGGATGACCTTTGTGGAGCTGTTGAGCATGCTGAAAAGGTGGGCATCGCCTGAATTGCATGGCCCAGCTAGGAAGTCAAAGGCGCTTGGCCCGCTCCCCTCCGTACTAGCGATGGCCTCCACCTAGTAGCAATGACCTCCAACCTACTAGCGATGGCCTCCAACCTGATTTGCAAACTAAAGTCAAAGTACGTTCTGTAGATTCTTTGTTCAAGTTTTGCACTCATGGAGGTTGTAGTCAAGCGCTGCGACGCCCGACATTCCTGCACAAGTGACGTGGCTGCGCATGACAGGTGTGGCAGCGCAAGCGCAGGAGGATTGTTCAGAGTGGATGAAGTGGACAGAAGCCTGGTGCTTAGAACGTCCAACAGTCAGCACACCGGAGGTGAAGGGGGGAGGCCATCGCTAGTATTATGAAACCTAACGCACACACAGAAGAGGTTCGAGATGAAACATTCAAAACACAACAAATACTCAAAATAAAACCGCACACAAAAAAAACAAACCTAGACTCAGCCCAAAACCAGAACTCAAGACCAAACACAAAAACACACTCAACTGGAGACTCAAGTAGCAGAAGGTTGAACAGAGGAAAAAAGCACATCCGGACTCAGCAACAGAGAATTTGAGTCTGGATTTGAGCAGTCTGGATTTGAGTCTGGATTTGGGTCTGGATTTGAGTCTGGGTTTGAGTCAGTCTGTTTTTTTGAGTCTGGATTTGAGTCTGGGTTTGAGTCTTGTTTTGTTATTTTTTTGAGTCCTGTCCTAAGTAGACCTGTTCTCCTGAGTGTGGATTTGTTTTTCCTATTTGCTTTTATTTTTTTTGAGTTTTTTTTTGTTTTCTCAATTTTTTTAAAGGATTTTGGCTCTGTGTGTTGAGTTCGACTTCATAATGCTAGTAGGTTGGAGGCCATTGTTACTAGGTTGGTAGGCGTCTATTTAATTCAGTAAGGAGGTAAGCTACTAGTAGCTAGGACGCGGAAGGCTTCAGGCTTCTTCAAGGAAGCTCTTGCCCCCTGAGAGCGGGGGAGGAGCTTCCTTGAAGAAGCCTGAGCCTTAATGAAATTGATTCTTATCTGTTTGACAGCTTAACTTGTGTTAAGAAGTATGTTGCTTCCAACAAGTACTGGACGTTTCCCTGTAAAAAAGCCTTGGCCCGACCCCACAAAGTCTGAGTAGGGTGTTCAAATTGACCCTTTAAACTTTGCTTCTCGTTCCAAGTGTCAGGTTATAGGTGCCCACAAATGCTGTTGGATTTTTTTTCTTGTCCCTCTTTGCGTCTTTGTTCCTGAAACCCTGTCAGTGGGTGCTATGGGGGCACACACTTGGAATGCATTCTAACATCCTTTGCGCAAAAAGCGCGTTCTGAGTGGGCAAGAAATCGCTGACCCGTTGAAGACCGAAGAAGCGGGCAACAGTGAAGACATCACTTCTTCGCCGAGGCTTTCACCAACGAATTTGCTGGCAAGAGCCTTTCCCATGGTACATGGAACAAAAAGTAAAACATATCGTACAGTTTGGGGCATGGCTAGGCAGGAAAGATGTGGGAAGCGTGGTTTAAATCTAGTGAAGCACTCATATCTAACTCTCCCCAGTCAGGCTGTTCGAGCTGACCAATTGTACAATGTCAGAAAACACAGTCAGGCTAAAGGTGTACGACGTATGCATTGGCTAGAAATGCCTACAGAACCTCACGTTTACCAGCAGTGGACCTAGTCAATTGTTCCGTACTGTTCAGACAGAATGTGAGTGTGGATTCATGAGCCAAAATGTTTGGGTATGCATCCACCAGCTTCCTAGCCTGCTAGCCGGAGGTAGGGAGGAACCAATTCTCCTTGGGGTTAGGTTGGAGGCCATCGCTGTTCCTCAGGCACCCTGCGGGTGGCCAGTGAGCGCAGGCGAGAGTCACTTGAGCATGGCAGATCCTATGATGCGAGCAATGCAACCAATGCATGCGCCGCAGTCCTGCTCCTTAAGACCTCATCCATCATGCAGTATTCCTGTTGCTTTGCGGTAGAAGCGATCAACCCAATAGTAGGAGCAAGGATGCTACTAGGGCTCCTGGCATCGCTACTAGGAACAAGAACGCTACAAGGAGCCAAGTGCATCGCTTCTAGTAACAAGTGCCTTACTAGTAGTAACAAGGACGCTACTAGGAACAAGAAGCTACTAGGAGCAAAGGGCATCGCTACTAGGAGCAACGACGCTACTATTTGTTGGCTTGGCTCGGTATGGGGGATGACAAGCATTCCCTGCAGAAAGGCACCAGAAATGGATCCCGAAGAAAGCCCCGCAAAACACTAGCGATCAAAAAGAGAGAGGCCCCGTGTGCAACAGCATGATACACGTGGTCACCTGGCTATTAAAGACTTTACGCTCAGGTGGGTAATTATATATATATACACATGTCATTAAGTATAAAATTACCTACTAATTACATTTTAAATAAACACATGAGATATAAGCATAGCGTACTTGAATTGAGATAGTAGCACATGAATTCCGCGGGTTTGCGCATGCATGTGTTCAAAAGCGTGCTTTCATACGAATTGCTCTCTTTCGCGTGGGGCTCTTTGGGCGGTGTTTGGGGCCATTTTTTGGGCAGTTCTTGGAACCACCTGGCGTGGGCATCTCCCGATTTGTTGCCCATCCATGTCTGGATCTGCCATGATTTGTCCACACAAACTGCATTTGCCGGGTTGGCTTTTCCAGGGCTGCTCTGACGCACCTTTCTTTGTGAGATGGGTGGTTTTAGTTTCCATATGTTTCCATGTGCACTCATGAACAGTTGCGATTTGCAATGAAGCTTGCGTCGCGCAGCCCGCACCTGTGACGGCCTTGCAAGTGTCAGTAGATCGCTTTCAATATCTTTGAAGAGATTTAAAGGCGCTGACACGCTTGGCAGCCATTCACGGACAGCGTGCCAACGTCACAATTCAATCAGCTGGCAGCTGGGAATAGACACCAGCCAGAATGTGCCGGCGGCCACAGTGCTTATGGAGACACATTGTCCCCGACTCTGTCTACACAAGTTCTAAACCCTTGCTGTTCTTGTATGTTCGGATGAGTGTCGTACAATGGAAACCCTGCTGGCCATTGCATAAAGTAGTAGCTTCTTGCTCCTAGTAGCGATGCCAGGAGCCCTTAGTAGTAAGGCCAAGAGCCCCTAGGAAGGGCACGAAACTTCCAGGTCCATTCAACCCCTAATGACTAAGGCCTTCGGTGTGGCTTGGCTTCACCTGGCCCACGAAAGCCGTTTCACCCGCTGTGAGCTCGCTGGCAGGTGCAACCAGTTGATATCCTGCAAATGCCCCGCGTGAAAAAGAGGTAGTGTAAAGGTGTTTGTGTATCTGTAGGGTGGGTCTAGACGCCCCCAAGGCAATTTCATGTTGATAATGTTTCTATCTTGCAATTCATGCTGTTTGAGGTTGATAACTACGTGCCATTTGACACTTTGACAGTTGGGTGTCACGGTGTCAAGTGCAGGGTGACAGGCAAGAGAGGTAGATGGGCCCTTTGTCCACGTGAAGAGCTGGTGATGAATTCCAGCAGCCCTTGCCGCCCTTAATTCTAATTAAATTCTATTTATATATTGTTTCTACTAGCTTCTTGTTCCTAGTAGTAAGGCCCTTGTTCCTAGTAGCGATGCCAGGAGCCCCTAGTAGCATCCTTGCTCCTAGAAGTCTAAGGAGTTCGCATCTCTCTCCAGTTGAAGCTGTCTCACCGACGGAAGTTCCAGAAAACTCACCGACGGATCTCTCTCAGGAAGGGTTCGGCATATTTGTTGCAAGTGCATCGCTATTAGTAACTGTAACAATAGGTTTTTTTCTTTCTTCAGCAAGTGTTCAGCACATTTGTTGCACAGAGAAAGGGCCACAGGCCTAGCCATCTCAAAACCATAGTGTTTCGAGCATTCTAGCAAACATTTGAATCCGTTGCCACTTGAATGGGCGGCCCACTTTGTTCAGTGAAGCCAACAAGGAAGAAAGAACAACAGAAAGAAGGAAAGGTCTAAAGTTTAAAGGTCTAAAGGTCTAAAGAAAAGAACAAGACAAAAAACAAGAAAACAAAAGGTCTCCTGGCCTTACTACTAGGAGCGGGGATGCTACTAGCCCGAAAACAAAAGACAAAGAAGAACGCATCTCCCTCGGCCGACTCCCAAAGTGGATTCATGCTGTTGCCATGCTGTCGGGGCTGTCCAGTTCAGGCATGGGTGGCTCTAGAGCAGTATGAATCTGTATGGATAATTTGGAAGATGAACCGGGCACTTAGGATATATTGTTTCCCAAATTGTTTCTACAACGCTGGTTAGGATAAATCAGAAAGACAACACTCGCAGTGCTTTGCAGGGGCACCTTTGGGTTGGAGGCCATCGCAGTCCTTCGGTTGGAGAGCCCTGCCTGGCCAGGGAAGTGCTTGGCAAGGCTGCTCTCCCACACCTGGACTGCGTGGCCGCAGAGGCCAGACAACAAGAACATGAATCTGGAGGTGATTGCTTCTTGTTCCGTTCGTAGCTATTTGCTACTAGTAGTAATACCCTTTGTTGCGACTAGCGATGCCCCTTGCTAGTAGCTTCTGGTTCCTAGTAGTACGGCCAGGAGCCCCTAGTAGCGTCCTCACGTGTCTGCCTGTGGGTCGTTGTTTGGAGATTGAACTTGGGTGCCTTCCATGCGGCGTGCCAGGAACATTCGCAGCCCCGATGCTCTCCAAACCTTGGAGGCCTCATGCCTGGCTGCCTGGGTGCGGGCACTGGTCTATTTCACTTTCACGCATGTTCAGGTGCATTCACCTCAAATGCCAGCGAGCTAGGTGAGAGGGATATTTTAAAGTACGGTTTTCAAAAGGCACCGTTTGTGCGGGAGTGAACCAAGATGGTTGAAGTCATCCATCGCCTTGAAAGAGTTCGCGCATTCTTTGGAGGCAAAAAGCCTGGTCAAGATCTCTTGCTTTTGGCAGCTGCCCGAAGGTGCAATGAACACAGCTTTTGGAACTATTTGAGTGTGTGAAAGAATGCTTGTTTCAGTATCGAACTGGGTGGTTTTCCTTTAAAGATCAAGTCTCCTGAACAGTCGCCTCGGCCAGTGAGTAAGTCCGTAGTCGCCTGCCTTTGGGAAGCGGCAGGGAGCCATGCCCAGAGAGAGAGAGAGGTACAGTAAGCTTGGTGCAGTTGGGTGCTCTTATAGCCGCTCCTTGCTCGAAGTGAAAGATTGCATTCCCGACCTTCGCATTTGGGACGCACGCGCTACTATTGTCACTATGTGTGGTTCCGGTGCCCCCGCGGACGCGAAACGAATTGATCCAGGTCTTGTTTAACGTGCGCAGTGGAATTGCTAAGAATAAATGCGCATTCAGACGGCCAGAAGAACCAAGCGCTCTACGAGTAAGCAACTCTGAATTGGAGCTCCTAAATGATGCAGTACGTTTGCTTCTAGGTCTTCGGACGGAACGAACTTCGTCAGAAGTCGTCGATGGCAGTGTCCACTCTGAGCCGTGGAGCATGTGCAAGTGTGACAGTTCTAACAACGCGGGATGGTTCTAAAAATGCATCCGGAATCGTTTCACCACAAGTCACCACAGCACCTCAATCAATGGGTCATTGCCAATACAGGTGCTGCGAGGGCCTCTGGGCAAATTCAGATTTTCCCGCAATATCCTGCTCGCCTCTGCAGAAGGGTGGGGGTGCCAACAGATGTCAGGATCATTGTCAGCAGGCTTAGCACTTGAACAATTAGGTTGAAAGCCATGGCTCTTAGGTTGGAGGCCATTGCTAGTAAATTGGAGGCCATCGCTATTAGAAGGCTCGGCACTACTTGACGCAACAACGAGTTCCACGGCAAGCGACGGAGAATCAGCCTGTCAAGTTAAGTTGCGTGGTATTCGACGCACGGGTACAGCCACAGGTCGCGTCAAACTGACAGGCGCACCGTTGACACGACCTGGTAGCTCCTTTTGGTAGCTGACGTGGCTAAGAAGAACGCTGCCACAGTGAGCAGACAAGTTCAGGCAAACGCCCAACATGCTGATGCTAAGGTGGACATGGACAACCGTGTCGCCCAGCTGCAGGCCGAAGTGGAAACATTTCTTGCAACCATCAAGGAAAGGGATCGTGAAGTCGCTTCATTAGTCTTGTCTTGACCAGCCAACGGTGTGTCGACATGGATGCTATGCCGATGGCTGTCCCACACAACGGGCCAAGCGAAACTGCACACTTCCTTACGGCTGATGCAGCAGCAAGCGGTCGCTCGTTTCCAGCGAAAAGCGCACTAGTCTGTTTTTCGCAGCTTCCACGCCGAGCCGTCGTGTAGGGCATCCGAGTAATGTTTCAAGCGCCACATGGGCATCTCTGAGACAGCGAGACCGCTAAGCCCGAAGAGAGAGAGAGAGAGGACTGCTGTGCACCACAATCGCCGAACACGGAGACAAGCCACACGGTGTGGAGACGCCACTGGGTGATTGTCCACTCCGGAAGCGAGATTCCTAAATATGTCATCGCTACTGGGAACAAGGGCATTACTACTAGGCATTACTAGGGCATTACTAGTAGTAACAAGCTTCCAGCTAGCACTCATTGGCCTATTCCTAAACATGTCGTGCTAATCGCCTGACACGAAGGCCGTTACCCTGCGAATGATGTTGGTTCCTGGGCACCGGGCACCGGGCACCAGCACCTTGTGAACTTCTTCCGATGATTGGCCCGTAGATGAGCTGACCGAAGATGGTGCCCTCAGGGAAATGCCCTGTGCCAGGAGCTACTAGTAGCGAACCTTGCTCCTAGTAAGGCCAGGAGCCCCGTTCGTAGCGTCCTAATCGCAGGACGGTTTTGTTGATTCATGGCCCTTCAGGTGCCGCTGCTCGAAAACATGAGGACGCGCATAATGAACTTGATCCAGACGCTGGGCTGCAACGTTAGCAGTTGGAGGCCATCGCTAGTAAGTTGGAGGCCATGGCTAGTAGGTTCGCCTCGGATGCAACGTGCCTTCATCACTCACAGACTTATCCATCCAATTCGGATCTTCGCAGGCAAATCATGGCAAATCCCTTCGAAGGTCCTGAGTCAATCTGCTTGTCCCAGTCTAAAGGATCTAATTCAATCTAACTCCTTTCATGATTGATTAGTTTCAAGGCTTCCCCAGTGACTTCCCAAAACTTCAAGAATTCTGGACAACACTGTCAGGCAACGCTAAAATAAACTTGCCGACTCTTGTCACTTTTTGTGAATTTTCAACCCTCCCTTTTGAGAACTCCATATGTAGGAGCAAAAACGCTACTAGGGGCTCCTGGCCTTACTACTAGGAACAGGAAGCTACTAGGAGCAAAGGGCATCGCTACTAGGAGCAAGGACGCTTTCTAGAAACCTTTGCTGACCCTTTGCCGACCTTGTGAACCTCTTGTTCCTTTCGAGCGACGACCACCTGGCACAGTCCAAGGAAGCATGGTGCTGGTGTGGGCTTGAGCTCCTTGGATTTCCCAGTCGTTTGACAAAACCTACTAGCGATGGCCTCCACCCAATAGCGACGGCCTCCAACCTGAAATGCTGTATGAGGCCAAATGTCCATTGTTTTGGTCATTGGGAAATAGGGCAATGTGGCATCCCAACTGCGGCATGCCGTGTCACCGCTCTGAAAGGCATGCTTGTTACAGTGCTTTGTAGCCAGTGAAGTGCACCCAAGGCTTCATAATGTTGTTTGTAAAATGCTGCTCGCGTGCGAGGCTACATGCTTTGCCTTGGACTGAACATTTGCATGTGCTTGATCATCAGCTGCGTGTCGTACGTGTCGAGCTTGGAAACGCAGCTCAATGATCAAAGCTCAGGGCTAAATGTTGACTTGTAGTGCCCAGAATGAGGGAAATGTAAAAGTGCAGCACACAGCAGGGTGCCACTCGCCTAGTGTTTGCTTTTTAGCGAAGAAAACATGAATGTTCAGGTCCCAGAAGTATTGCTCCTAGTAGCGTTCTTGCTCCTAGTAGCGATGCCCTTTGTTGCAAAACGCCAAAAAAGCTTTTGAAATGCAAGGTTTGGACCGTGCATGTCAGACCCATATCGCTCATACCGTTTTCGGTAAACTCGAAGCTGCCGCACAGCTGCACTTTGGGCTGCTCTATGTCCTTTTAAAGACCCTTGGGATTGTCCTTCCTTCTTTCCTTGCTTCCTTTCTTTTCTTTCTTTAGGTGCATCTTAAGTGTTTTGTGTACTTGCCCTTCAAAACCGCCCATTTATTTCGCTTCGACTATGCCTCCGGGGCTTTGTTTGGTCTCCGGCCTTCCGTCCCCTCTTTGCCTGGCCTATGTCACCCAGGCTTCCTTACTTTTCTGCTGTCTACGTGACCTATGGCAGCTTGGCCTATCCATTCCAAATGGCTGGGGCGGTTGCCTTGGCACCACTTTTTGCCAATGGCATGAGACAGCTGCGCAAGAGGCTCAAGCCTCTTGGCGAACAAGAGCGGTGCCGAGCGTGGAAGATCTGGAAGATGCATTTCCGAGTCTAAGCAGTCCAAGCAGATACGCCAATTCTGCAACAAAGGGGGTATGGTAGGAACAGGCAGTTGATTTGCAATATGCCGACTTGAAAAGGAGAAAGGTTGGAGGCCATCGCTAGTAGGTTGGAGGCCATCGCTATTGGGTTGGAGGCCATTACATGCGAGGCTATCTAGCTGGGCCGCCTTCATACTCTTGCTTGTGTTGGTCGTTTCTGGACGCTTGGCTGCTGTGATTTGAATCTTGTGACAGAGGTGGTTGGTCTCATTAAAGGTCAACAATAGGCTTCCAAGGCATTCCATACGTGCCAAAACCTGCCAAAAACATGTTTGCTACAAAGGCAAGATGACTTAGATTGCTGATTCCAGGTTTGGGATTGAGCCAGGGAGGCAGGACAAAGACATAGAAAAGCTTCAGCTGTGCAAGGTTTTCAACCATAACAAGGGCGTACAGCGTGGGAACATGCTGCCAAGGCACCTGCACGCTGCTTGCAACGATCCTTTTGGTCTTCTCATCTCCTTCTGCAGCTTGAGCTTGCCAATTCAGACTGTGTACAGAGATGAGGCCAACTTTGAGCTTCCCTCGTTTGCTCTTTCTGGCAGTTCGAACCAACCCAGCTATATCAGTTTATTTCTGCATATGTATGCATATGTGTATGTATCATTAGAAGTGTTGGCATTTTGAAGGTGTGCCAAATGTCATTGCTTTTGACAGTGTGGGACCAAACCATAAGGACAGGGTTTGTTTGAGCACTGTTTTTGTATGTGACATGTTTGGAGGGCCATGGGAGACTTGATGCGCATTCCGAAGCACATCTCGTGCAGAGAAGCCTCAGATTAGCTTCCAGTCTTGTTGCGTCCAAAACCCTTAGTAGTAGCGTGGCACTTGTTCCTAGTAGCTTCTTTGTTACTAGTAGCGTGGCACTTGTTCCTAGTAGCGTGGCACTTGTTTCTGTGCCAATTCGTCGACTGAAAGGTTAGGAAGATGGAAGTACGAGACGCACATCCCTCCGACCTTGGACAGGCCTAGCGGCTCGATCTGCATGGCTGACGGCTTTTGATCCGCTCCATGTTTCGCGGAGGAGCGGAGTTGGAGCATCTGGGAGGGCGGTGTAAGTAAGTAGTAGCGATGCCCTTTGCTCCTAGTAGCGATGCCAGGAGCCCCTAGTAGCGTCCTTGCTCTTAGTCCTAGTAGCGATGCCCTTGGCTTCTAGTAGCAAACTCTCACCAGAAAGCTTTGCAAAGATAATCTATGCAATTGGCTTGATGCAATACATCTGCCTTCTTTGAACGACTTGGACCAATCAAACAAGTACTGCTCATGTTGTTTCTATTTATTCTTTACTCAGCAGATGTAGCGGATGCTGTGAGATCCGTCTTCCAGGTGTGCGCAGCTAGCAGCTAGCTCCTACGCCCGGCTGGAAAATTGCAAGATTTTGCGAGCTTCAAAGCAGATACGACTAGCGGATTGCACTACAAGCGTCACACAGACTTCTCGAACGTGTGTCCCATGTTCTAAATAGATAGTCGGTCCAATCGTAGAGGTGTTGAACTGGATGAACGAGGAGTGGCTGAGGCTGGTGCAATAGCCGAGCGTTTCGGCTCCAGCTTTGATGTGCAAAGCCATGGTCTCTAAGCCAGGTCTTGGTCCACTTGGCATCAGTCTTGTGGTGTCGCTGTTCAGTCTGGTGCCTGCTACATCTGCTACCCACGATGTTCGAAAACATGAGCAAAGCATCATCTCCGCAGAGGCCAATGTCATGCGCCGTGATGTGGCGGCCACAGAGGATGAGTTGAGGGGAGGGACGGCCAAGGTCAGCCACGCTTGGCATGCCAGTGCTCAAACCAGCTTTCCACGAACGTCAGGGGCTCCGTGGCCCAATCCGGTGCATCATGCGGTACAACATGTCAATCCCGATGCCTCTCAAGGGACAGGCGCTGTTGGTCAAGGGCCTGCCGGAAAAGATGCCAAGGGTGGCAAAGCTCCAAACGACGTGAAAGAGGCAGAGGCCATCGTGGAGAAGTTTTTCAAAATTGAAGCTATGGTGGCCAGAGAGACTGGCCTCCCTCTCAACAGTAGCTCCGCTGCAGAAAAGGAGATGGAAGAGGCTGCCAAGAAGGAAGAGGAAGACGAAGAGGAAGAGGAAGGTCGTATTGATTTACTCTATGCTTCGATGATTGTTTGTGTGATCCTTGTTGCAGGGCTGGCGTACTACAGGTGGCGACAAGGTCGAGCGCAGGACGAAGTACACAAGCCTTTGGCATCAGGAACCACCAAGTGAGGCAAGTGAACCTAGCAAACCGTAGTGCCCACAACATGTTTCAACCTCGATTGATCCACATGCCGAGAGTACGCATACTCATGCCGAGTGCTGTTCTCATGCTCCTTGGTTACCTGGGTTCTTGGGTTATTCACCGCGATGGTTGGAACAGGGACTTCACTTCTCAGAGGTCAAAGTGCCAAGTCGGTGCAGCACAGATCACCATGATCAACGAATGCCTCGGCACAGCTAGCAAAAAAATTGTTTCGCTCCAGTCCAGATATTTCTTTACTGTCCTTGATTTGAATCGACTTCCAGCATTGAAGTGTGCATTTCATTCCGAACGACGGCAAGCATCGCACCCCTCAAGTGCATGCTCGCGATGTCTTTCAAGCGGGAAATGTCGTTCAAGCTTGCGAGCTTTCCGAATGAATGTATTTGCAACTGTAGCGAGGCAGCGAATGGGTCAATGTTTGAGCGACAAAACCCAATAAGGAGAGACAGCCAGTGCTTCCGCCATTGATGAAGAAACCAATCCATTTACATAACGAAATCATGGAGTGACATAAGTAGTGACACATCTTCCAGGAAGGTCCTCAGCTGTTTTTTTGCAACACGGGGCCAACTCAGCCGTGCCATGGGGCAGTCACCTTGCAGTTGTGATCGGAGTCCTGCAGTCAATACACAAACCATCACAGTCGCTTGAAGCTATTCACTTGCAGCTTTTCAAGCTTGGAATTGCCATTTCAGCTGTCTTCACATTTTGCTGTCTTCTTTCTCATCCCATTTCTACACCCCTTGCTAGCCCAGGGTGATGATGAAGCTGGAGTCCCTGAGCTAATATTTTGGCACCAACCGCACAAACTCCAAAGCTTTGCAGTTGCGATGGCAGTAGTTGGGGAAGCGGAGATTCAAGTAAGTTGGAAGCCATCGCTATTAGATTGGAGGTCATCGCTGTTAGGTTGG